ATCCTTACCTTTCACAGAGGCACTGAGTTTTATAAATATGAGCATGATAGTGTAGAATAATCATATCCAAGAACCAGTGGTGGTTTTCAAAAATTTTTGGAACCTCTTCTGTAGGTGTGGCCTGCTTTCCGGGTCCACTGGTGGAACCTCTTCTAACCAGTTCGGTAGATTTGACGAACTGGTTCTACCGAATAGGTGCGAACTGGTAGGAACCCACCTCTGCCATATATTTTCAGTGATTATGACATTTGTGGTTATTGATGACTTCCTAGTTTATTTGTGGGACAAAAAAGCAATTAATTTAAAGACCTTCTCTCTGAGGGCACCTCTCCAGGTTGCCTTAATGCTAAAGTCTGGCTGGTGTAATCTTATTACAGTTGGCACTAAGTTTAGTTAGATTTTGGTGTTAGCTAAAGAGCTGCTTGCCAAGACTTTTGGCTGAACTTCTGCTACTGTGTCATTTAGATTGTTTCTGTCTTGTTGTCATGCTGCTACTATATGTTTTTCATGTTTGTAATTTAGTATAGTTTTCAGTTTTAAAAGATTTGATGGATTTATTTGGTTTACTCTAATCTACTTTATTTTTGAGGAATAGTGAACCAAAAACGATGCAGGTGTATAGACTGCTCATTTGCTTCCCGGAAGCAAAGGCATTTGCAGAATCAAGATACTGTATGTAAGGTACTGTACACCTTACATTTGTTTGCATACTCTGTATGGATAAAATGTTCGTTTCCTTAGAAAACGCTGGTACAACTGTTTGCACATGGTTCTTGTGAAAATAAACATAAGTAGCAAAATGAAACAAGTAAAAACATTACATGCAGTGTTTCCAGTGTAAGTCTCAGATCAGACTGAAAGTGACAAGAATTTTCTTGGCAGTCCTGAAGGGGCTTTTTTTCCTGATCACAATGATAGTGATGTTTCATTGTATAATAAAATGAATCATTCAAGGTTAAAATGCTGAAAAATGGCACAGAGGCTGATTTAAAAAAAGTAAAAACCATTCAAGTTTTACTTTTTGGTGGTGACTCCTTAATTTGGAATGTGCTTTGTAGAGCTTTACTCACATGTAAGCCAACATAAGTCTTCCTAATTTTTTTTGTCTCTCTCTCTCTCTCTCTCTCTCTTTCTCTCTCCCTCCCTCCCTCTCTCTTTTCCTGTTTCCCTTCTCTCTACTCTGCAGATATACACTGACTGGGCTAATCATTATCTAGCAAAATCTGGCCACAAACGGCTGATCAAAGATTTGCAGCAGGACATTGCAGATGGAGTTCTACTAGCAGAAATCATTCAGATTATTGGTAAGTCCCATCCATTTAGCCATAACCTGAGCATAACTTCTGGGTTAGGATATAAAATTCAACAGAACTAGAACAAAGTGTTGTGAGAGATGAACATCAGATAGTTGTGATTCAGACTCTTTATTTCTCTCTCTCTATACTTATTTTCAGAAATAGAGGCAATGCCTCCTAATTTTTTAAAATGTTTAGAAATTTTGATAAGTGTGTGTCTGAATCTATGTGTATGTGGTTCATCCCCTTTATAGCCCAAGGACTGTGTTTCGCACACTTGGCAGACTAAAGCGAATGCTTCATTAAGCCATGTGTCTCCAATGTGTGCATTTTATTAACTGGAGCGGTTTATACTTTCTGAGATGACTTGAAACTGTATCTTGATCCCACAAAAACAATTGCGGAAGATTTCATGTCAGCAGTCGTTTGGCAGGGTCTGGAGAATTAGCAGCAACATTCTCTGCACTTCCCCTTTGCATGAGGAAAGGAACTGCCGCTAACAAGAAAGACTGTTATTGTACATTTCAGCGTGCTGAGAGCAAAGTTCAGTATGTGCAAAATACTTGTGTGCCTATTTGCTTTCTCTCATCTTGTCTTGTTGCCTATTCTTAAACATTTTTTAAAAAAAACTTCCACTGCTTTCTTTTAGCAAATGAAAAAGTTGAAGATATCAATGGTTGTCCTCGAAGCCAATCTCAAATGGTAAGAATAAATGTATGTATGTATGTATGTATGTTTGTATGTTTGTATGTATGTATGTATGTATATGTCTGTGTGCATGTGTGCACAGTCATTATATATATATTTGTATTATAGTATATTGATAACTGTCACATTTGCATTACATTGAATGGGTACTCCTGGAAAATACATATCAGAAAATTGTTTAGGGAATATCAAGAACTTAAGGAAGAAACATCATTGATACTTGCAAATAGATTGTCAGTGTGCTTTTTCCCCCAAACTTCCATGTCTTTCAGATTTACACTGATCATTTCATTCCAGAACTGCCTTTAAAACAGTAAATGGCAGAACCAATTTTAAGTGGAGTCTTTGTGTCTGGACTACTGGTTTGAAATATGGGGTTTGCCAACTTTTAATGAATATAAATAGTCTTTCTACTTGTCCACAATATAGTCCAGTGAAATAGCCTGACTGCAGAGCACTTTTTGAATCACATGCTATTCCTGCTGGAAGAAATGAACCTAAAGAATGCATTGAAATGCAGTTTATCATCTGAGGAAAATTCATCTACCATCCAGAATGAGTTTTAATTTTTGTAGCATTTTAAAATTACTAACATTTATGACTATAAAATAAATAATGGAAATGATACTTGGGTTTTTCCCCCCTCGTTAAGTTCCTTCACGTAATCTACTTTGTATTGTTGCCAGGGTTTTTGATTGACATTTTAAAGCTTCTATTGATTAATTTTAATTGCTTAGATATTTCATCTAAGAGTTTAGGTAGATATTTGAGAAAGGAGCCGGTTACATTCATTCTCTCACAGGAAGCTGCTAAAATTAACTCTTCACTGCAAGAAGGTGAAGAGTTACTTGCTTGCTAAAGCACACTCAACAATAGATGTTAACTTCTTTAAAAAAATATTTATTCAAATACTTTCTGCAACCTTGCTTTTTCTATCATTTGTATTGTTTTCAAAGAGGCTTACAAAATAGGTTTTGCTCCTACTGCAACATTGCATTACATAAGAGGTCAATAATATATTGTCAGTAGATGTCATTAGCAACCTTTATTATTATTAAGCCATTTTAAAAATAAAAACAGCTGAACATTGATAAGACTCCAAATCTAATGAGATGTGAAAAGAAAACTCTCTTCACATAATAAGAATAAGGGATTTCAGAATTATTGTGAGACTCCCAAAGGTGCTTTTCAAGGGCAACTTGACTTTCTTGTTTTTCTTTGACATGATATTGTGAGAGATTTTGGATAGGAGGGAGAAGTAAAATTGCTGTAATTTCAAGTATCATGAAATTTTGAGTCCCTGTCCCATTGCACAAACATTATACAATACCAGGGGTGGGTTCTTGCCAGTCCTAACCTCTTCTATAGAAGAGGTTCCACAAATCTACAGTGCCATTTAGAACCGGTTCCAGCTCCCTCCCCCCGCCCATCCGCATATCATCAAGATGAAGAGCGAGAGGAGGAATTCTGGGAGTCCACAAATCTTAAAGCTGTCAAGTTTTAACACCCCTGGGTTTTTTTTCTAAAGGGTTAGGGGTACAAGGGTCTTGTAACTTGACAGCTTTAAGACTTGCATGCTTCAAATGCCAGAGTTTCTGGGCCAACATTTTGGTTGCTACACAACAGCGTTGTTAAGTGAGTTTCACCACATTTTACAAGTTGGCCATGCCCACCCGGTCATATGGCTGGCAAGCCACTCCCACAAAGCAGGCCACACCTACAGAAGAGGTTCTAAAAAAAATTGAAACCCACCACTGTACAATACGTCCTGGTATCTGAAGAAAATGCCAAACTCTTGCTCTTTTGAAAATGTAAGATGATCTCTGCAAATAAAGAGCTGGTTTAATAGACTGATTAAAATATAGGGATATGAATGGGAACATCTAGTTTCAAGTCACTCTTAATTACAGAGGCTTGCTGGTTACTGTGGACAATCATTCATTGTCAGCCCATGTTGTTGTACATATTTTTGCTATGTATACCACCATACAGTCTTTTTTTTAAATAAAAAGTCTTAAATGTGATATAATATTGTTGTTCCTGATAAGAAAAAAATAAGATTTTTAAACTTTCTGCATCAAAAAGATCCATTTTCTTGTCCACCATGATCCTATTCTTTAAATTGCTTTTCTATACATGTGGATTACAGTTAGTAATGAGCTATGATGCCACTGGATAACTTTGAATAGATTGTGTATTAAAATAGTAAAATTAAAAAGGAGAAGGGGAATTTCAAGAGAAGATTCCCAAAGGATCTGTCGAAAGTAGATTAATGAACATCAACATTTTAATGCAGCTAAGGAGAAGAAGAAGAAAGTATTCAGAAAATTTTGGAGTCATAGCTGATAAGTCAAGGAAAATTGCCCAATGTCTAGCCACCATAAAATTCTATGTCTGGAAACATTGAAAGAGAACTAACAGAAATGCAGCCAATATTATGATGTCCTTATAAATCTACAATAAGACCACATTTGGAAATGTATACAGTTTTAACCATCACACTTGAATATTGTATTAAATATTCTACAAATTCTACATCAGTATATACATAAATATTGAAGAGTTGAAAAGAACCCTTCCCCAAAAGGGCAATCAAAACAATTTCAGTGATAGAGCAGCTTATCCACTGGGAAAGACTATAGCAGCAGTAATTCTTAATTACAAAGGGGATATGAGGATACTCAATAGACAGCAGGGAAAGGAAAATATAGATTTTGTCCAGCAGTTCTACTGGCTTTGTAAGCAATCTTGGTAATTTTTTTGCTACCTTCAGAATCAGAAGTGGTTTGTTGAATACTAGCTGCCAAGGAATAACAGTGATAAGAGATAATCATCTTTTTATTAAGTCTTCTGAATATCTCTGATTGAGTATTAAGAGATAGATTGTTGGCTGTTCCAGCAGGGTTTTTATGAATCTCTGGCTTTCCAAACATTGCCGAGCTACGTTCCCAGCATCCTTCACATTTTATTTGCTGCTAGCTGAGATACTAGCACAGAAATAAGACCTGTTTTATAAATACTTTTCATAGCAAATTAGCTTTAGACACATTTCTTACTTTTTACATCTTTAGATGCTTTACAATAATCCTTTCTTTTCAATTTTAGTATCTTTGTATACAAGAACAGGTTGCTAGGAGGGAACCATGACACCAAAATGGCATATTAATATTATTGTATTTTTTTTGGCTTAAAATCAAGCAATTAACATTTTGGAGAAATATTTTGGGATCCACAAAAACTTAAAAATATAGTGTGCCTTTTAGGCAGTGACTCTGCTTCTTATTAAAGGAATATTGTCAAAGTTAGTCATCCTTTGTTTTTCAAAGGAAACATTTAGCTTCAGAAAAGCCATATCTTCAAAGTTCTGCAGATTAAAGCAGGAAATGGCTAAATTTCAAGCTAACCTTCTAATATTGATGATGCATTTCCCAAGAGGGTTACTTTTTGTTCAACAACAGAATTACAAAAAGATATCCTATACCCACGTCCACACAGAGCTCTGTCTCCATATTGAAATTGTTCTCCGCTGAATGAGAATGGAAAAGCCAACTAATGTTGTTTTTTTAAACTGCATGCTTTCATTAATTAATTTGATCCTCTGAATTTCCAACCAAATTATAAATTCAAAAATTCAAAATGCAATATCTCGGAAACCTTATTAATACAATCCAAATCTGCTGTTTTCCCCTTAGCTTTTTCTAGGCAACAGTACCATCCATCATGCAAAGCATTTTCAGATGCAGCCTCTTTGACAGTCTTCTCCCATCTAGTATCCTTCAGATATGGTTGAACTAGAACTCCTTATATACCCAGACAGCATTCTTGGTAATAATTGCAAGACATCTGAATTCCACACAATGCTACTCTTTATGGATACAGGATAGACGTAAAAATTGCAGTGCAATCTCTCCTTTAGTTTTACTCCAGATCTCAACGTGCCCTACACAGGACTGGGGTCATATAGAAATCCCTTTGTAGTATTGTATGTCAGTTCATATGAAATTGTAAACATCATAAGTGTGACTAGAGAGTGTGCCTTCATTATAAACTTAGACTGACTTCTCTTTCCATCTGTTGCATGTGTTTCTCAATCTGAAAAAGATTACAATCCTAAAGGTGATAGATTCATTTCAATGCATAGAGTTTGAATTAAAATTAGTTTCTAGTCTGTATCACTTCTTCTTTTTCCTCCCATTCAGTTCTGTTCTTTTTCTGCATTAAGCTATTACATCCATATATTGTACATCAAAATATGTACAACAATGTATTTTCACTTAGAAGTTGTCATGGATGAGTAAATTCTTGAGAAGTATTTTTAATAGAAAATTGGAATGGAAATTAATAAATTATATATATATATATAATACCTCTCTCAATTACATCCTGCAGAGTTGAATGAGGGATGCATTAAATTGATTGGCATTATAGCTATGAGACTTATTGCTAATACTTGTTGTAGGAATTTAGTATCAGTTGTTGGTATTGATATTTAATTCAAAGCATACCCGGTGTTGGAAAAATAGATAAAATAAAATATCAGTTTTTGTTGCTGTTATACATTAAGTAGTATTCAAAGTTCATTGAAGCAGTAAATATAAAAAAGATGTAAATACCCTACCAACACCTGTTTGCTGAAGTAATAAATACATTTTTGTCAACCAGAAGGATTAGAAAAATATGTTAGCCTAGAATGGTATATTTAGATTCTCTTTTTAAGGGAAAAATGAGAGCATGCTAAAGATACAAGAATGCTGAGAATGCCTCCCACTATTAAAAATAGCATCAATAAAAGCATCTTCTTCACTGTGTATGACTAAGAGAAAGATACAGAACCCTCTGGAATCTATAACTGGATGAAATTGTTCAATAAATAAGATGATGCTGAAACAAACATTTATTTCAAACATTTATGTTGTATAAGTGCTAGGAGAAAATATTATTTAGTACAGCCTTTCCCAACCTATGTCTCTCTAAAGATGTTGAAACTCATTCCC